CCTCATCCTCTTCTTCTTCCTCATCCTCTTGCTTCTTCCTCATCCTCATCCTCTTCTTCTTCATACTCTTCTTCTTCCTCTTCTTCTTCTTCATCCTCTTCTTCATCGTCTTATCTTCTTCTTTTTCTTCTTTTGTAGTCTTCCTCTTGCAGGTCACTGCTCATGCGCAGATTTTTTATCGGTAAAAAAATCGGCCGATTTGCCCACTAATTGCCGCGAAAATTGGCCGATCCCGATCTTTACGGAAAAACGGCCAAAATACCGAAAAACGGCCGACCAAATCGCCCATTAACGATCCGAAAATCGGGATGATTTTATTTTCGGCCGAAGAATCGGCCGATTTTTCGACCCATCTATGGCCTGCATAAGGCTTGTTGGATCTAAAGAGGGTAAGGTATAGTTAAGCCATGGGTCCTATGTTTTCAGGAATTTGGGCTGAGTGTCATTAAGGATGCTAGATATTTTCTTGTGTATCAGCATTTTGGTCACACACGGTCTTTAAATTCATGGAGGCTGAGGGCTTCTTCCAGGCCTTGGCTATTGTGTGTAGAAAAAGAAACATGGCCAGTCGTTGCTGATGACCACGAAGGCCTGGCATTGGACAATGAATCATGAAGCAAAGCATATTTAGCTTCCTTGGTAATGATAAGTTTGAAACAAAGCGTGAAGAAGCCCAAAAATTCTAGACCAGAAGGAGAATAGTTTTGGGCAGGACCACCATGTGCGTAATACATCACCTTGTTGGCCACAACCCCAGAAACATGTCAGAGTAGTGTAGGCTGTCCAGGACTATCAATGTAGGAACCCAATACCATCTAAGGAGAACATTTTAGGCCAATTCCAGTATGTTCGTACCGATAAAGTATTTGGCTTCCCTGGACCAGTTCTTGTTCCATTCCTGTAAATCAATAAAGGTAATCAGATTACGTGTCCAACTTGTTACGTTTGAATGAGACTATAGGGATTGTTGAACATACTATGAAGAATAGAAATTGACTTGGGCCCACGAGGGGTGTGTAGGCAGATATGCTCAATTTCCTTTTTTTAACATATTTTTTATTTTTTAGCCTCTCCCATCCTCTGGAACTCCCTACCACAGCATGTCCGGTCAGCCCCCACCCTGTCTGTCTTTAGGCGATCTTTGAAAACTCACTTCTTCAGGGAAGCCTACCCCACCTCCACCTAAGAACTGTACTTGAATCACCTCCGCCAGATCATCCCCGCAGCTATCACCTTTTGTATCACCTCCCCCTTCCTTTAGATTGTAAGCTCCACGAGACGGGCCCTCCTATTCCTTCTGTACTGAAATGTATTGTAATTGTACTGTCTCCCTTATATTGTAAGTGCTGCGCAAACTGTTGGCGCTATATAACTCCTGTATAATAATAATAATAATAATATAAATCCTGTATAATAATAATAATAATAATATAATCCTGTATAATATAATAATAATAAAATCCTGTATAGTAATAATAATAATAATAATTTTTATGAATTTTACAGAAAAACTAAGGATATCAGCAATGCACCTTATCCTCCCTGGCGGTATGATAATTTCCAATTTTTTGTGCTGAAAGCGGTACCATTCTTTTGCATGGAAATATGTAGTTTTTTATTGTAGGCTGTCATTTTTAGGAATAACTCACTGAAATCTGTCCGAACAAGAGTCTAGTAAACATCCCGGGGATGATAAAATCTGAAACACGAAATCATAAATTATAATTTAATAAATAATCATAAAAAATAATATAATAATAATAAATTTAATTCAATAATATAATCAAACCAAAAACACTGAAATTTTGAAATACAGAGGCAAATTCGCACATCGCTGAGCAAAGTCGCAAAATCATTTTCAGTGTCTGATGAGGAATTTCCCCCACGAATCATTATCACTCAATTCTGCAAGTGGTTCTGATTTACTATCGCTGTTCTCTAGCCGGTCTAAAACCGCTTTTGACCTAAAGGGACGCTTTTTGGACGCCATGGACGTTTCTAAGTTTCCAGGCAGAAAGAACAGTAAAAATGCAGGCAGGGCGCCGGACAAAGCACTCGGGACAAAATGTATGTGAAATGGTTTTGAAGCAGCAATGTTTTACTATGTAATAATTTTTTTTTAAAAAATTTAATTTTTAAAAAATTTCAAATTTGCCGCCGGTTCCTGCGCCCGTACGTCCCGACGTCACAGGGACCGGAACACGGAAGCCGGATGCCGGCATCGGCTGGAGGAGATGGCCAGGGACGATGCAGGGGACACATCGCGGGAGCGCAGGACAAGGTAAGCGCTGCAGGGACTCCCTGAGCAGCGCCGCATGGTAAGCCCGAGTGTAGCTCGGGGTTACCGCTCTTGGTACTCAAATTTTACCCCGAGCTACACTCGGGAATACCGCCAGGGAGGTTAAAGATCAGTGTAGGTATTAAAGGCCATTTGGAGTGGTCTAATGTATTCAGGGCATGTTGGGGAAAAATAAATCTTAGATGGGCATCTTATCAAAGGCAATATACAGAGATATGGGAAATGCTATTGACATAAACACACACAGGCTGCACACACACCACACAGGTGGAACTGGATGGACTGTTGTCTTTATTCAACTTTACTAACTATGACACTATAAGTATAATGTTCCAAGCATGTTGTATATAGGAACATTGATGGGTAATCAACTGTCACCACAGTTTTTGAATAAATGTGTGATTAACATTACAGCATGTCATGGTTATTTGCACAAATCCACCTACACAGGACGAGGGCCAAAAAAACGGACTTTATATGCGCCACCAACACATTGTATACATCAATACATAAAATCAATACATTCTTTATTATTCAATTTAAAAAAGGGGGCAGAATAAATGACAAAGACAGAACATATAACCATGTAGAGATCATTGCTCAAAAATGGACATAAATTCAATAAGTATATGCTATACTTTCCAATTTTGGCATCTAGGATCGATGCGTTTCGGTAATAAATCGCTTCCGCAGGATCCCCACGTATAGCAAATACATTAAATCTACAAGAGTAAAACACAACTCATAAACACATTAAGTCTCCATTCACATTGTGTCGACTGGTCATGCGACTTTGGACATCAAAGTATCCATCAGTGCCGCCCATCAGTGCCAAACAGTGCCAGCTATCAGTGCCCATCATTTCCGCCTATCAGTGCAACCTATCAGTGCCAATCAGTGCCACCCATCAGTGCCCATCAGTTGCACATATCAGTGCCAATCAGTACAGCCTATCAGTGTCCACCAGTTCCGTCTATCAGTGCACCCTATCAGTGCCCATCAGTGCACCCTATCAGTGCCCATCAGTGCGACCTATCAGTGCCCATCTGTGATGCCTGTCAGTGCCCATGAGTGCCTCATCATCAGTGCCTCATCATCAGTGCCACAAAAAAACACTGGGGCATCAACAGCAAGGCTCTTACTTTCCATTCATCACACATCTGCGCCAGAGGCTGGTCATCAGCTCTGAGGAAAGGGATTCGTCCCCGAAACGCGTCAGCCATTTGACCGCACTGACAGTGAGAACACCTTGCCTGCCGTTGTGGCCATTGTCATTTTTCTATGCTTTTTAGATACATGCTTCGTCTGTGAGTATGTTTTTATTATTCTTTCACTCCTACAATAAACTTGGATAATGCACTAGGTGTGTGCGCCACCTGTTTTCTCTCTATCCAGTGGCTGATTTCCCCGTCTGAGGAGGGCTGCACCCCTGAAGCATTTCCTTTGGTTGTCGCTGTCCTGGTACCCTTGGCTTCCCTTTTGGCTGTGCATGTCCTGAGGCGCTGGAGAGTACATACGATATCCACAAAAAACACTAACAAAACACTCGCTTGCCGTGTTTTACCACATTTTACCACATTTACCAGCATTAGTGTTTTTACAGCTAAAAAAACTCCTACCAGTTCTGGGGTTTTCCAGCCAGAAAGCGCCCATGCCAAAAACTGCTGATTACAGCCTATGTGTGAATGGACACATAGGATAATATGCTGGGAAGTTTACTGGTTGTAGAAAAAAAATGCCAAAAGACAAAAACGCTCAGAGTGCATGAGGCTTAATGGTGGCCTCACCAGATGTTTACACTTTCCATCGATTTGCTCACTTTTCCCTGGACCTCAGGTAGCCTTCTCTAAGGGGTCTACAAGAGACATAGCCACCAGGGAGTAGAAGGATAGTGGCCAGGAAGTGGAACGTGGCATAGCTTCAGTTGGGCAGCAGGAGGCACACTCATCCAACACATCTAAACCCAGCGGACCATTCATTTTGCCATTAGTAGACACTAGTCTTCTTCACTCTGTTCCCCTGGAAGATTCCAAATTTATTAACATCCGTTGCTCAAGCCCTGAGGAAGGGGAAAGCCTTTTTTTCTGAAATGTGTTGGTTTTATCTGATGTTCCTTACCACCAAACATTTCGGAAATTTAAAGGAAACAGCAGAGGGCACCAACTAATTGCAGTATATAGAAACATTTTTCCTATTTACTGCACTTTGTTGGTGCCCTCTGCTGTTTCCTTTATATATTGCAGAGATTACTTTAGTTTCATTGAGGAGTTTTGACCTAATATGGCCATAGACAGTTGAAGATGCAAGGCCACCCAACTAGAAAGGTAGCATTGCAGAGCCAGCTTGCATAGTGCCCACCACAGTGACTGTGGCTTAAAATAAAAACTGTGTGCTATCATCTGATGGCTTGCACAAGGGGTACAATGAAGGAGGACCCTCCATCTGGTAACAGCTAACATGCCAAGTCACTGCCTTCAAGCACAGACTTTTTGAGCCCCTGAGGGCAGGAAACAGTGTGTCAGTGTCTGAACCTAAACACGTGGTATCTGGCTGTGGCTCTTCTCATTGTGCCATCTGAGATGCTGGAGATCTCCCTGGAAAATTCCTTGGACAATCTTGCCTTGTACCTTGTATCTTGTGAACCAGGGGTGGACTGACCATTGGGGTACTCGGGCACTGCCCGAGGGCCCACGGTCAATAGGGGGCCCCATGAGATGCCCCTGGTACCTTTCATAGGCTTTTTTGGGTGTGGTTTGAGTGTGGGCGAGGACACAGGGGCCCCATGATCCCCTATTGCCTGGAGGCCCCATGAGTTGTCAGTCTGTCCCTGTTGTGAACTCATTGCTCCTCCTACAAACTTCCTATTTAAGCCATGTATTTGAACTTCTTGTTTGTCAGATAATTATGCTCTTTCCAGTTGATACCTGGTGGTCCTTATCTCCACTATCATTCGTTATAGACCCTTGGCTGGTTCCACCACTAGGCTTCTGTTTGATCCCAACGTGTAACCTTTTGTTACTGACCTTTGGCTTGTTTACTGACTAGGCTTCTGCTTGATCGCTACCTGCTAAATCTGCTTCTGTACCCCAGCTTTCCCACCTCCTGGTGGGTTGCTCCTGAAGAACACGACCTGGTACTAACAGGCAGAAAAACCCATCTCCAACATCAGGAGCTCTGGTAAATACATAATACTTAGTTAATGCTTAGACCCCACACCTTGGGTGATGTCAGGAATGGACTTGCCAATAGTGGTGGGACTCACGATACCTTGTGGGCTGCAGTACCAGGGCTGGCCAGCGGGTGCTCTCAACAACCAGAGGTTCACTTTGGCAATTAGCCATCACCTGGGGCTGATTGCAGGTGGTGTATTTAAGGGATGGCCAGACCTGCAGTCGGTGCCTTGGTGTGTGTTTTTTTCCATGGGCCCCTGTACCTTGTAACCTGCATTCCAATTCCTGTTCCTGTTTCTGCCTGACTTGTTGCCGACCCTGCCTGATCCTGACCTCTGCTGACTTCTCCTGTTTGATCCCTGGCTTGTGACCCTGACCATTCTCTCCGCCTGCTCCTCCTGTACCTACCTGCCCGGTAGTTATCGACCCGGCCTGCCTGACTACGATGTGCTCTATATGTGTATGTACCTGTGTATCTATACCAGTTTAGGTTTGGGTTTGTTTCACCTTGTTGTATGTATTTGTGTTAGCTTGGGGTTTGGTGCACTGTGTTTATGTTTGTATTGTTAGTCTTAATAAATTGTCTTGTTTATACCATATCTGGAGCCTGCGTTTCCCTGTGTCAGTACACACATCTCTGGTCACACCCGCATCCCTGCCAGGTGAGCCTCTCTACTTCTATAGCTACTGGTCTCTGATCCTGAACCTCTAACCAAGACACAGTGAAATTTATAGCCCCTGGGTCTTTCCAGGAGTCATGAGACTTGTTAGTGCCCAGAGGATAGTGGGAGCCCACCAAATCATGGGCTATTGACCTAATATGGCCATGAGGCCATTGATCGCATTTGCCCATAAGGTCAATAACCTAATAGGCCATATTAGATCAATGATGTCACAAACATCCCAACCCTTTTGTGTACATGCAGCCATAAGACGGGGTATGCCAATGGTTAATCTCTAACCAGGGGCGGACTGACCATTTGGAAACTCGGGCACTGCCTGAGGGCCCGGGGTCAGTAGGGGGCCCTATGAGATGCCCCTGGTACCTTTTTTCTTGTTCAAACAATTTTATTTTTTAACATGGAACAGCATAAAATAATAAGCAAAAGTGTGGGTCATTGAAGGTGTACATTAATTGCACAGTAAGAAACCCAATAATACAAGGTCAGGCATCACTAATAAAGAGGACTATCAAATGGCAGTTAAGGCCTAACAAAATGGGGGGGGGGGGAAAGGATGGGAAGGGGCATACGGCTGCACAGTAGGGGGAGAAGGGGGAAACCCGCAGTATGGTTAAGGAATGGTACCGTCAAACAAAAGATGCAGATTACGGATTGAGAAGGGAGTCATCAAAATTGGATGGAAGGAAATGCTCTACCCAGGGATTCCAAATCTTCTTGAACTTAGGGATGGAATCTAGAATAGTGGCTTCTATTTTTGCGTGAATCATTGCCTGAGTGACCCTATTCGAAACTGCAGTCATACTCAACGAGGGAGATTTCCATGATTTAGCGATAACCTGCTTGGCTGCGGTGGTGACTTGTAGAATAAGTTTGAAATGCGCCGTAGTGATGCCAGGTGGTCGCGCCCCTGGTACCTTTTTTATAGGCTTTTATGAGTTTGGGCAAGGACACAGGGGCCCCATGATCCCCTATTGCCCAGGGGCCCCATGAGTTGTCAGTCCGCCCCTGTCTCTAACAGTAAGGATTAGAAATGATCATACAAAGCAGTAATATATCAAAACTTTGTTGTTTTGTCATGACAGAGTCTTTTTAAGTAGGTGAACTATAGTGCAGTTGTAAACCTTCTGGAACAGTATTATCCGTACACTTCTTTGAACCGATGCTGAAGTTTTTTGTTTTTTCTTTTAATTGTGTAAATATCATTAGCGAGGAAAAAGAAAATAGAGACCCCACAGATGATGGAACCCGAAGGCGAAGACAAAAATGAAAGGCAGACAGATTCCATGGCGCACTTCCGTCACCCAAACCGCTATAAAAATACGCCTAATGGCCTAACACAGAAACAAAATTGTTGAGGCATAAATGTTGAATCGTTAAAAGTTGCAATCAAGTGCCTTTTAGGGGAAAATAGAGCTTTTAAAGGGATGAATTGGCCTCCCTTGACAATTTGTTATGTTTTTAGAGGTAATTATTTCTATTTGTGCCAACAGAGGAGGAAGTTAAAGTTTTTTTTTTTTTTTCCTATCTTACCATAAGAGCAGATAGAGACGTCTGCAGCCCGTTCGGCATGTTGTAGAGAATTAGCTGCATCAGAATGACGGCGATATAGTTTTGCTCTATCCATTGTGGAGATAGAGGCAACCGAGGTCCCCGGGGATTCCGATTTCGCTGCTACGGGGGAACTGTCAGTTGTGGCTTAGTGATCTCAGCAGGCGACTCTCTATCTGCAGTGGGACATTAAGCAAGACGGCAGTCGGGTTACATTTGCATACATAAGACACATCGACGTTGACTTGGGTTTCCTTGCAGGGTGGATGGTACATTGCAAAGTGTTTCAGATCATCTTAAATTCTCAGACATATGCTCACTCACGATGGCATAGCTGGATTCTGAAGATTTTTTTGAAAGCGCAATGGGAAGTCGGGATGCGCCTAAAACACCTGAAAAATGTCTTGTAATATGCTACCTACTTGAAAGCAAAATTCTTGTTTTGCGGAGAAAAAATACCCACATCCACCATCTCTTCCTTCCAGGTTAAAATGAAGCAAGTATCACATATACAGTACACTGCTTAAAAAAAAAAAATGGAACTCTTTAAAAAACACGTAAGATCTCAATGGGGAAAAATCTCCCACTGGATCTCTATACTGATATGGACGAGGGTAATGTGTTAGGAGGGTAAGGATGCCCCATCGTTTGATGGAAATGAAAAGGATTGACCTACAGAGGACTGAATTCAAAGACACCCCAAAATCAAAGTGAAAAAATTATGCAACAGGCTAGTCCACTTTGCTGAAATGTCATTGCAGTAACTCAGAATGGTCCTCAGTAGTTTTGTATGGCCCCCACGTGTTTGTATGTATGCCTGACAATGGTCGGGGGAGGCTCCTAATGAGACCACGGATGGTGTCCTGGGGGATTTCCTCCCAGATCTGGACCAGGGCATCACTGAGCTCCTGGACAGTCTGAGGTGCAACCTAGAGGCATCGGATGGACGAAACATGACATCCCAGAGGTGTTCTTTTGGATTTAGGTCAGGCGAGCGTAGGGGCCACTCAATGGTATCAATTCCTTCATCCTCCAGGAACTGCCTGCATACACTTTCCACATGAGGCTGAGGCATTGTCATGTACCAGGACGAACCCAGGACCCATTGCAGCAGCGTAGGGTATGACAATAGGTCCAAGGATTTCATCCCCATACCTAATGGCAGGCAGGGTGCCATTGTCTAGCCTGTAGAGGTCTGTGCGTCCCTCCATGGATATGCCTCCCCAGACCATCACTGACCCACCACCAAAATGGTCATGCTGAACCATGTTACAGGCAGCAGAACGTTCTCCACGGCTTCTCCAGACCCTTTCACGTCTGTCACATGTGATCAGGGTGAACCTGCCCTCATCTGTGAAAAGCACAGGGCGCCAGTGGAGGAGCTGCCAATTCTGGTGTTCAATGGCAAATGCCAATCAAGGTCTATGGTGCCGGGCAGTGAGCACAGGATTCACTAGAGGACATCAGGCCCTCAGGCCACCCTCGTGAAGTCTGTTTCTGATTGTTTGGTCAGAGACATTCACACCAGTGGCCTGCTGGAGGTCATTTTGTCAGGCTCTGATACTGCTTATCCTGTTCCTGTACCGGTCCTGCTGATGGGCTAAGGACCTTCTACGGCCCTGTCCAGCTCTCCTAGAGTAACTGCCTGTCTCCTGGAATCTCCTCCATGCTGTTGAGACTGTGCTGGGAGACACAACAAAACCTCTGGCAATGACAGATATTGATGTGCCATCCTGGAGGAGTTGGACTGCCTGTGCATCCTCTGTAAGGGTCCAGGTATGGCTTCATGCTACCAGTAGTGACACTGACCCTAGCCAATTGCAAAATGAGTGAAAAACAGTCAGAAAAGAAAATGAGTAGGGAAAAACATGTCACTGGCCTCCACTGTACAACCATTCCTGTTTTGGGGGTTGTCTCATTGTTGCCCATATAGTGCACCTGTTGTTAATTTCATTAACACCAAAGCTGCTGAAACTGATTAACAACCCCCTCTGCTACTTACCTGACCAGATCAATATCCCAGGAGTTTAATTGACAATGCTATACTCTGATTAAAAAATTGTTCCTTTAATTTTTTTGAGCAGTATATTTTTCATGTTAAATCCCAACTGGACCCTCCCCACTTTAATGTATTTTTTATATCTCCTGCAGGAGGTTACCATTTTTCTGTAGTATGCTGACTTTTAGTGGTGGTTTTGAGCTACTACAACTCATTTACTATGTGATTTTGGTATCTTCCTCTATCTTCCCCTCCTATTTACTGGTAGTTAGTTCAGTCCTATCTACACTCTCCCCATTTCTTACATGTTCCCTCAGTCAGTGTTAGTGATTTGCAGAGACAGGATTCAGGAAAG